TCTTTCAAGCCGTCATGTCAAATTATGAAAAAAGTGAAAAAGATTACAGCTCTGCAGGTCACTTCTAATGACCCTGAGCAGTTTGCTTTTATGATTCCATGACAACAGAGTAAAAACCTTGGAATAAAAAAGCGATTCCCTTATTTAAACACTATCCCCATTAACTAGACAAATTATTTTACACTCATACCAAAGCAGCTGACACGCATGGAGATACTTTTATTGCAACAGGACCACGTTTACTGCCAAAGCTGGCCACAGTCTCAAAACAAACAACAATTCCTCAAACCAGAAGTGATCAATCTGCTCTTGTCCACTGAGCAGGAGAGCATGAAGAAACCCCAAAGGTCTCCTATATGTCCACCAGTACAGAGCCAACCCCTCCCGCACAGGTGATGCCTGCTGCAAAGCTACTGACCCCATGGTCCCCAAGTACCCCTCACTGATACAGAAGAGGCTCTCGGTGCCACAAGGGCTCTGTCTCATGACACTTGGAGACCCATGTGCTTTCTTTGTTCAGGCACTGTGACTTTTCCATTGCCCTGTGATTGTCCTCCCCCATCTCCCAGCTTTCACTGCCTCATTTCCTCACACACCTTCTCAGTGGAAATCACCTCTTGCCTCTTCTTTTAGAGTAAACACTGAAGGGAAGCGCTATGAGACACCACCTTGGCAATGAGGCCCCCGAATTTCCTACAGAAGGCAAACAGCCCGCAGTCTGCAGCAACCCTACACGCACCAGCTTCACGTGCGGGCTAGAGCCGAAGCTCACTGCCGGTCCAATGAGACACAAAAAGGGAGAACAAAAAGAAGAACAGCAACAATACAGCCACCCTTCACACTTCTGGGCAGTTTGGCCAAATGTCTACTGGCATCTCAAAGAGTTGTTTTTAATTTTTTTCCAACCTGTTAGGGGAAGTAGTCCTTCAAAGGTAATAATGAACAAAATTCCAGGGATGTGAAAAGTTCTGAAAGCGTTTTCTTTTTTCTTGTTTTGCTTTGCTTTAAGAATTGTGGATTACAGATGCATTTCCTTTAGAGGTAGGAGGATAACGCAAGAAAACACTACCTTGATCATCTATTAAATCTGATTTAACTGTTTGTAATTAAAAGGACTGCCTTTTTCACCTCAGCTCCTGGTAAATAAAATGCATCTGCATAAAAGAACACTGCAACTACTTAAGTTCAATTTAAGATCAAGGAAGAACACCTTAACTTGAAATGAGTCATACTTCTGCAACGATAGACAAAGACACTTTGCCTAAAACAAGGTTTCAACAAATTGTTAAATAGACTAGTGAAAGAAAATAAATCTGCTTGAGTAATTTTAATGCTTTAATTAGCTCAGGAGTTAATAGATGCCAAGTTTTCATTTGCAGGACCTCTTCATTTGCAGCTTATAAACACACCATCAATCTCCCTGTAAAGCTATTTAAAAAGAGCTCTTTTTGTGAGAGAAGCAGCACTAAAATTAATATTGCTTGCCAAACAACCCCCCTGAAAGCACAGGCTGCTCCCTATCTGCCAGCAGAGTTAAAGAACCATCTTGGCATCTCCCCTTTTAAAAGAAGGGCTACTTCAATTCCAGCACTGCCAGGTGCTAACTTCGGGGCTGTATTCAAGAAGGAAAGCCACCTGGGAAACCTTTGCATGCTCTGTAAACCAATGCTTAATTTGGGCACACAGATGCACTGGGATTTCAACTTCTAATTAACCAGCACAAACGCTGTTTGTTTTCAGCCAGCTACACTTTGTAGCAAGCTACTCCAGGCAGCTGAATTTTCAGACAGTCACGTGTGCTTTGAACAGCAAAGAAAGCAAGCCCTGTTGTGCAAATGAAAACAAAAACAAAACAAAAAAGAAGGGATGCATCAGTACACGGCAAAGACATAGAGGAAGTTCTAGGGCAAATCTCTCTCGACTCCATTTTGGACATAAACTTAAGCCACCCTGTTCCTCCTGCTTCAACTGCCTTCATCAACCGCGGGTACACGTGGCCCTGGTAGGCGAGCGCTGGCTCTGACGCGCCCGCAAGGACGCTGAGCAGAGAGGGGATGTTGGCTGCAGACAGAGCTACATACCATGCCAAACTTACAGTTCTGGACTTTCAGGCTAAGAAAGGAGTATTTTCAGATTCTTGTCTACAGTAAAAGTCTCTTCTCTCTCTGCCACCTGGAAAACTGACTAAAGTGCTACAGTTGTTTTTTTTTTACAAGCAGCTGAGAAGAGCTGAAACAAAGACGATGGTTGTAAAGCTGATGAGGAAGGCAGAGCCTGGAGCAGTTGAAACTAGTATTTTTAACAGTGCAATGAAAATTTCCACAAATTGTTCAGGAGGAGCAAGCTGGGGTTGAAGAAGGAGGAACAAAACAAAGAATGGATTAAGGGAGTAGCTGACTGCTCAGCAAGACACTATCCCATGCTCCCACCCACTGAGGGCTCCTCTGCATGATACTGGAACAGCATGAAAAAGGTCTTACAGAGCTTGAGTGCAAAATGCTACAATCTCAACCAAAATGGAGAGATGCTCTTCCTCTTCCTTGTGCCTAGCCCAGTTTGTTGTTTGTTTGTTTTTTAAATTAAATAGTCCATGATAAGAAAAAGGAAAACAAGAGGTGTGTAGTCTGTAGTTCGCAGCCTTCCATGGAACAACAGATCATGGAGTAACATGAGATCTCTATCTATCACATGACCTGACAGGAATTTAATCGTTCAGCAATTGCCTTGCACATGGACACTTTAGCCTTCCAGACATGGAAAGATTTCTCTGTGTTACTCAGGGCTCAGAACCTATCAGTGCTGCCATCTGGCCAGCTGGCCAGTCTGGAAAGACACACAAAACTGCTTTCAAGCAATTTCTATAATTAACCTAGATAGAAAACCACTAGACAGATAACGTAGATAGATAACCACTTTCACCTAAAAGGACACTATCAAGTTATTTTTATCCATCAACTTGAAATTTTCTGTTGGAGTGATTAATTTATTAGTTGGCACTCCTTCCCAGCCTTGGAAAAATTTTGTAGTGATTATGTATAAACATCTTACGGTGAATCTCAAATTCTAAGAAGCTTTCTTCTGAGGAAAACATAACATGATGGGGAAAAGAAGAAATACACAAAGAAAAGTAGACATATATAAATACTGTTAAAAATGCTCTAGAAATTTCATCTTCACTCCACTTTGTAAATAGCTAACATTAGTAGAATATAAATTGAAGTTTTTAGAAAGTCCACATTAAAGTTTTTTTTTGTTCGGTTGTTGTTTTCTTTTAATAAAAATAAAATTAAGACAACACTTTTTAGAAGACTTTTCCTTGGGCAATTGCAGAAAGTTATATCATACAATTGCTTTAAAACTTCACCCTTAATTTTCAGCTTTCATAGCTGTCGCTTTACTAGCCCTCACAGGCTTCAAAACAATATGCAGGACAGATCAGACTCGCTTTGTATCCTTATAATTTATGCCAGTTGAATGCATTATTAGCAGTTTGAACACCACTAAGTGTGACAGGATGTTAAGTAGCCACTAAAAGAGAAAAAAAAAACCCTTCAATCTGGTACATTAATAGTTGGGTTTTTTTTCTTCAGCTTTGTTTTGGTTTTAACACAGTAATTATAATCACAACACAGTAATGTTTCTCTTGGTGAAAATTCCCTGCATTTAAATTTTCTGAGAAAAATTAGACTGATAAAACCTTAATCTTCGTAATCACCACGTAAACCAAATTTTAATTCATTAGAGGTTCTTTTAAGTAACTGCACAGTAAAGATGGGAACTGAGTCTGGTTACTTACGATGCGACTGGTGGAGAACTAGGCCGTGCTTCTGACGGTGCGTCACATTCTTCTGTAAATCAAAAATGAATTAGTTGGTTTTATTTGCCTCACTTGTAGTATTTTACCTTATGGTCTCTGAGCATCAATTAGAAAATCGGTTTCTTCCAGGAAGTAATTGTTTGACATTGAGATTATTCATTACTTTAAATGGGGTTTCCTAACAAAATGCTGTTTGTTCTCTGCTGAACTGCTACCTTCATTTCTAGGTAACACACGTATACAACCTCTTAAGCATTTTCTATATTCATCGCTGTTCAACAAAGCACAGGAAATGGTGCTCCTTAATCACTGTAAACATTTGATGTTCTCCTCAACATGTAACACACAAAACTATCTGTCAATACACACATAACAGCGATTTTTCTTCGGATTCCTACTTACTCTGATTCTGTGCTACAGATCCAACGTGCTGTGATTCCTAGAAAGAAAGGACAAAGTGCAAACAGAATAAATGAATCAGCTCTCTCTTTATAGCAGCATATCCGTGATTTGTTTTCCACGTTACTCACTGTAACAAGTACTTTGACTAACTTGTCAAAGTATGACTTTGAAGTGTCCAATAGTCTAAGCTGGCCTGACATAGCTTAGCATGGACAGAAATTACACGTGCTACTGGCACCAAAATTGTGTTGTTAGCACACTCATGGTATGTGTATTTTTGAAGAAATATTAAAAAAAAATTATAAGAGCTGACAAACACTTCTCTAGCACAGTCAGCAAATATTTTCGTTGACAATAAAGATAAAATGTTTTTTGTGCTGCAACAGAGGTGAGATGCTTAACATGTTTCTGAAAAGCAGTCACATTTGAAGCCCAGATTATAACAAAGTGTAAGTCATTGAAACATTACTTATTCATTCCCCCTCCGGCTCAAATATCTTGCCAGTCTGAAAACACAAAGCTTGCTTAAAAAATAAAAAAGAGCAAAGATAATTACGCTACCATATAGTCCACTCAAAACCAATTACTCAGAAGCATAATCTGATCTAATTCTCAGTCAAACAATGCATTGCGAGCGGCCGTTATGCAACTTGAGATCCATTGTGCTGTAATTTATCTGACTACTTCTAAAGATGATCTCTCCTAATAGCCTTTACCTGTGAAAGGGGGACAAAATCAGACGAACACACGTGCAAGAGCTGGAAAGCTCTCTTCTAATTTATCGAAAGCCCTGGCAAAAAGAGAATGTTTTACCTTTGTCGGGAACGGAAATTTGGAAGGCTCTGCTGTACTAGGCGTATCAATATCTGTCAAGGGAGGTAGCCATAATTCGGTAATTTCCTGGAAAGAGATTGAGATAAGATTGAGATAATACTTACTTAAAGATAAGTATTTTTGCTGATACATGCAGATGATGTTTTACACTTGAGGGATTCATATGAATCTACCAAAAAAGTCCTTGTCGACCCAGTTGTAAACCTGAGAGGCGGTACCACAGCAAGGAGCCCTCCTTTGAGTGCTGCAGCCAGACCACGGTGAGGACTTGCTCCTTTTCTGCAAGCATACTTGCATTGCCCAAGTAACAGTAATCTCAGTGAAGCTTGTAGAGAGCTAAGCTCTTACTGTGTTTGCAGGATTAGGTCTTGGCCTTACAGCTATCACAATTCATAAAGGGAAGAGTAAATAAAACCCATATACAGTAGTTCTGAGGTTTTTCAAAGGTCTTTCCAGTTACAGAAGTTCTTATATCCCCTTACAGCAACACCACTCCAAAAGGCTTTTCACAACTCGAGGAGGTCAGCCAGAGAGCTCTGACTGCCAGCCGTTCTCCGTGCTACTCTGCCTGAAACATCGGATTTTGCTCCAACCAACCGAGACGTCTTTCCCGCAGAGCTCTGGGACATGGTTTCGAACGAAAGAAAGAGACTGCCTGATGTGCTATGTCTTTAGGAACCCCTCTGCCCTGTTCCCCTGCCTGTATTCTCGCTCACCATCACCACCAGGTACCAGCTTCTTGGGCTCAGCCACAGCCCAGGGGCAAGCAGAGCACCAACACCACGGCCATGGGATAGGGCTTGGCAGGCGAGAGCAGCCTCCACCCTGCCTCTTCTGGCACCACCGCTGAGCCCAAATGGGTGTGGGAAAGCCTTGGCTTGCACCGCAACAAACACATGGGAAGAAAGTCTAACATGGACAAGGACCTCTGTCTTGAACATACGTTAAAATACTTTAATGGGGGTTAATCTCAGAAATTCAGAACCACCTTGTTGAAATCACACAAGACACACTTTTCTTGGCTCCTGATCCTAAAGTTTTAAACCCTGAAGAACATAATAGCTGCTCTAAGAAGTAAATGAATGTAGCCTGTCACCCTGACTGCCTTTCCAGGAATAGTTATCTCAGGATTTTCTCCCCAAGCCCAATATCACCTCTGTACCCAAGGTGTACATCCACCAGCCCCATCCAGAGTGGCTGTCATCACAACCATTCCCTGCCAACTTCCCAAACAAAGCAGCACAGTAACACAATACTTCACACAGCTCAGAAAGTTAGGAATTATGTTCATGCTGAATGCATCTCATGAGGAGCAAGCACCATACGCAGTTTGCTCAGGGGCTTAAAAGAAACTAATGAGGAACATGTCAGCGCAAAGTACGTTTTTGTAGTTTTGGCACCAAATAGACTTAAGTGTGAAAATCTCTACTGTGTCATAATTTACAAGAGCCATTTTTTCATCAAGGCACAAATATGAAAGTTCAGACAGTGTCCCGTGTTTTCTTATCTATTAGGAAAAACACGTAATGCAAAGATTTACAGGGAATGAAACCACATCGCTACCTTTGGCTCTACAGGCAGGGATCGGAGCAATCTACAGGGGTTTTTGTTCAAGAACGAGAAGCAGCCTACAACTAACCTGAGTAACTATTTGATCGCATTGTTACTACCCTTGCCTTCTCCTTTCTGCCCTCCCATTGTTCAGTTCATTGCTCACTTCACCCACTAGCTGTGCAACCCTTCCATAGATGATAAACTCCTCGATATACCGCACTACATCTCTGTGGTTGCTACAAAAATAGCGTTATGCGTTACTAACAGGATGTCTCGTGAAACACGAAAGGATGCAGTACTTCCAGGTGGAGTACTTGTGCTGCAACACCAACCAGCACACAGCAGCTAGTGAGCACCTGCGCACAACTGCTGCGCAGCTACAACGCTGCCCCAACAACAGCTTCTTGAGAGTAATAAAGACATCAGGATTTTGCAACCTGAGGCAACAGCCAGGGAAGTGAATTGCAGAAACCAAACACCTCCATTAAGACTTCAGTGTCTCGAAATAGTATTTGACATCAAGGAACTGTCTTCTCGGTGTCAGCATGACCGGCTTGCAGATCACAGTGCATTTTCACGCTGTGCCCAGCAAATGGGAGACCCGTACTCACCCAGCTACTGGGAGCCTGAGCACTGCTCACAGAGCCAGCTCTGACACAAGGTTACCGAGATAGTTTCGCACCAGAGCTGGCTTAACTTTGCACGAATGGACGAGAATTACAATGAAGGAGAAGCGGCCCAGCAGCAGTGCTATGCGCAGGTGGGTAGGAAGGACACAGGTGCATGCTCCCATTTCGGGCCATGCTACTGGGGCTGGCAGCTGGCAATCCCCTGACTTGATGAAGGAGCAGCTCTGGCTGTTTTGGATGATGTGTCAGTCTGGCTCACTCTTGGACTGTACCAGACTCTGTTACACTTCCATATTGATAGACAGACAGGTCTTACAACTCCAGTTGTATCCGAGGCTAACTTCTATCTCTACTTCACAGCATACCACAAAACACACTTTTTGGTGATTGCAACATCCACTGACAGAACAGAAGCAGAGCAACATTCTTCCCCACACGCTACTTCGATGGATTTAAGCAAACGCAGAGATCGATTATTTAAGAGCACCTACCTTCAAAATGTCTTCAACGGAGCGAGTATCACTGGGGAAGGTTTCCTACAACAAAGAGGGAAGCAGCGTAAGTTTGGTTTGTTTTTACCAACTGACATGAGACAAACAGAGGCACTCATTAAACATTTGCTTACCAAGGGTTCTATAAATTTCATGGAAGTCCATTAATAATAAAATGCTAATAAGAATTAAACGCCCCATCAGAAGGGCAGTTAATAATGCACTTCCACAAAGCCTGTTGTTTTCAAGTCTTCAGTAGAAGAATATTCTAAGAAAGATGAGAAAGAAGGAAAGTGAAACAGAGCTCATTAAACAATGGTGCTCGTTCGGCTGACAGGATTCCCCTTGTTTTATAACTCGCCTTCTGCTATGCACCCATATGCACTCAGCAGAAACAGAAGCCAGTATAAAGCCCTAAGCTTGGAGAAGGCAAAGTAGAGGGTTTTAGCAGAGGAATCATGCACCAGGCCCTTGAATGCCAGCTCTGGGTCAATGGGAATGTCAACTGCCATTAAAAAGTAGAAAAGCAATACAACTGTAACTTCTGCAGTTCAGAATAAAACCTCGAACGTACTTCCAAGTAGGAGCAACATGGTGATTTCTGAAAAAGCCTGCAGATGACTTGGATCTGGATTGAGGGACTGCCCCTGTACCCCCGCCACTGGTTTTGCTGGAGCCCAAGCACACGCCCGCCTGGCAGAGGCCAGGGCTCCCCAACACGAGTGTGGTGAGGACCTTTGCAGGGAGGCCAGCTCAGTGGTGGTGCCCTGGCGCTCCACCACCACCACCTGAAGGGCACCAGGAAACAGCCGTGGCAGCACCTGCAGCTGCCTTCAACCAGGGTCATGAGCCCAGGCACGACGCAGCTCTGGGGAAGAGCACACAGCAAAAGCAACGCTCATGTTTGCCAGTCACACAACACACAGCAGGCACTGCAGCTTGGGCAAACACATAAATCTGCTTTTAACGTATCAGCAGAAGTACTTATCAGCTCCTGGCAGGACACGCCCCTGGCACACACGTGCCACACCACGCCACACCTCGGGAGCATGGGTGCTGTTGGGCAAGGCAGGGGCTGGGACGAGCACAGCCAATGCCTCCTGCTCCCCAGGCACGTGGGGACAGGGTAACTGCACAATTGCGGCCAGAAGTGATGGCCCCTGGCAGGGTCCACCTGCCCCATGCCCCAGGCTGTGCGCAGTGGGAGAGGATGCAGCAGCAGTGCCCTCCTCCTTCCGGCACCATCAGCAGCACCAGGTGCTGGGGATGCTCTGCAGCAGGACTGGCGCTGCATCCACGCAGTGACCAGCCGCTTGGCCATGGGGAACATGACTTCACTTCCACAGATCAGCTTCTCATCTACTAGCAAGGCATGTGTTTTGAAAGTACCTGTCATTTACACATCCTTTCCTAACTGATATCATTAATGAAAATTGAAATTAAAAGCAACCAAAGAGCTGAGTAGTTGCAACGAGCAAAGTGCATCCAAGATCAGCTTCTTGCCTACAAAGAAGGGATTCAATGGAAACATCCAGTGTCTGGCGTAATTGCTGAAAGGAACAGGCCAGGAAGATGTTCCTGGTGTTAAAGGAAGAGGGCAGTGAGCTACAGTGCCCGATCAGAAGGATCTTCCCCAGAACAAGGTAAACAGCAAAGCGAGAAAACACTTCATTAAAGTGAAAAAGCATCATCCTTGGCACTCTCACAGAAAGGTCACTCATCTGTTTCCCATACGCTGCACTATTTACATTGGAGGAAGAAGAGGAGATGAGGAATCTCTTTTCCCTGCAGCCTCATTTGTCTGTGCCTACATAAAGCTCTCATCGAGGCAGTGCTCGTTTGACAGAAATTTGACAGAAATTTGACTTTTCTTCAGAAAATCGCACACAGATAGCTGCTTCTGACCTTACTCACCCGAGACAAACGGAAGCTGAGGCACAGCCAGATGAGTCATCCGAATGAAAGCAAGCAGCTGGGATCTAGCAAGGCTTGCAGAAGCACCCCACAGCAGGCAGGAGGAGGGGAGAGGGAGAGCAAACAGCAGGGAATTTCTACCATGTGGCAAGAGATGGGGGTGCTTCATAACTCACGGTGCCAAAAAGAGTTCCCACTTCTCTTCTTTTTCTTCCCAGCAAGCTTAATCTGGTAGCTCAGCCATCTAATTTACCTCTTAATTTAGTAAGTGGTGAACAGCAGGCACAGAAACTTGCATCTTGCCGTACAGAAAAGCAGCGTTCAACTAGTGGATTGCTTCAGAAAGCTCCTGAGATATCCTGTGAGAGCAGCGCAGTAAAAATCGCTCCCACAAAACAGATAAGGAATCAAGATCCTGTCTGGACAAAGTATTCAAAAACTCTCTCTACAACAGATTGATTGCTACAAATCAAAATCAGTTTGCTTCTCCTATTCCAGAAACTTAAGTTTAAGGCATGAGGGATGCTCAGGATTCCTTTCATCTGTGGCTAAGCAGTTTACTCCCAGAGCCACTAGCCTGCGGCACGCTAGGAAGCCCATGACCCTGCTGGAGACTCTCCCTGAAGAGCATGGGTTTTCAGGCGTCTAACCTCTGGTCTGCTATCCTGCTGCACTCTAAGACTGAAAAACTGAACGACACTTTCACTAGCAGTGAAACGTGCAACGGGCAAACAAATGGACCTGCAACAACCTGTCAAACACACGGTGAAACATTTGTTCTAGAGATTAAAATCGTGCACTGTTTGGGGCATGCATAGAAAATTTGTTTTCCATGCCAAAACCACAAGAAAACTGGTCAGCGTCGTTTGACTGCACCAGAGAACCCTCCTGTCTCTCAGGCAGGACTGGAACTGTCATTTCTGCCATGAGTCTGCAGCCCGTCGCAGTCCCTGTGCCTCAAACCTGCTGGAAGGAGCGGGCATGCATCCTTTCACTCTGTCCCAGCTGCAACGTGTGAAGACTCCTCATCTTTTATAAACCTACGCACCCAACGCCTGAAGGAGCTGGGCTTTCTGCATGCTGAGAAATTTTTTTTGCCTCCTTTCCCCCCTCTCCCTTCAAGTCCCATCTCAGCTGTGTTTCAGCCTGTAAACTACCATTAAACCACAATTACCACCCAGCAGCAAGGGCTGTCCTTGCCAGTTTTCAGGTAAGAGTCTAGGGAAAAGGAGAAAATACGATGTTGCTCAAAGAAGAGTTAAAAAGCCATAAAGCCAAAGAAATGAGATCAGCTCCACTGAGGACTGTGGGTGTAGAAGATCAGATATTACTTGTTGCTGTCTATCTCCTCTAGCCCTTCTACAGCCTTCACAGGGATCACCGTAACGTACTCCCCACGGCCAACTCCATTTAAGCCCCGTGCGTATTTGCTGGCTGACACTGACAACTGTACAATCTCCAGCTAGGATTTCTTCATGTCACATTCATACTTGCTGTCAGTTTGGGAACGATACAGATGCCTGAGCGCCACTCACAAAACATTTTGGTGGCCGATGTCAAGGCTGATCATGGGACATCCAGAGCTGTTGGGTTGCTGGGTTTTTGGTTTGGTTTTGCTTTTTAATGCCAACGTTCCCATCAAAACTGGTGTTGCACTTCAATAACAGCCGCTCCCCTCAGCAATAATACTAATTTATGTTCCAAAAAGTCTGGTTTTGCTCAAGCAAAGGCCCAATTCCCAGTGACCTCGCAGCCTCCGCAAAGGTCTGCACGGCAGTATGTTTCTCCATTTCCCATTTCCCACAGCAGAAGGCACTGTCAGAGCCAGATGTGTTATGTCCAGCTGCAAGCAGGCACCCACATCTGACTCAAGACTCCAGCCCAGTTCCTCTACTGAGGCAGGCTCACAGACTTTGGAGAGGTTAAATAAATGTGTGTAACTTGAAAAGAAATCTTGTTCAGAGAGGCAGAAAACTGCTTTAAGAGAGCAGGCAGAAGAAACTGTCGCCTTTGTAACTTGCAAAGCTTATCCACAAAAATCCCAGGGAACAGCTAGACAGACTGTGTAACATGGTTCATGCCTGTTATGTGACTGAAAATTTAAGGGACACATTTAGAACTATACTTATATGATAACATATGATGGGAGCAGAATCTGGACTGATAAATTTCCCTAATAAGTTTTGCCAGGCTAATTTAATAGATGACTTCCTTACTTGCAAGCTTAAAAAGCAAAGAGAAAGGTCATCGAGCCAAAATCAAATTATCTCTTTGATGAGGGTTCACAGACTTAATTGGCATAACAGACACTTCACAATGTCAAAGATAAGTTTAGTTTTAAGGGTTTTGGAACAAAAAGCTGGATAAACACAAAGTCAAAGCCATTAAATAAATTTTGACTACAGAAAAATGCAAAGACTACCATTAATATGACTTCTAAGCCTCTCTCGGTTACTAAAGAACAAGCAACACGCTATTAAAATGGTGAGACACTACCACATTCTCTCCTTTTTACAATTTTTGCAATATATACATTTTTCCAGTTCACCAACCTGCACAACTGGCTGGTGAAGGCCAAGTAATATTTTGCAAAGACAGATCATCTCGAGGTTAACAAGAGACAGTGCTACAATGCAACATGCCTAAAGTACTGTTGAGTACAGCTGAAGTTGCCTGAAAAGGACTTCACTTAAACCTTTTGGATCAACATAACGTCAACATAATAGCTCAGACCAGCATGACCTAAATCCCACATCCACTCACTCCCCTTGGTAGTTGCACAAAATCACCCACTTCCTTTTTCCTCACTACTGGTGACCTCAGCCAAGAAGAAATCTCTATGCAGATAACCTGTGAAAGTTTAAATAAAATTAAAAAAGTGGTACCATATATTTTCAGGAGGTTCTGGGGGGTTCTGTTTTGGTTTGATTCAGGTTTTTTTTTTTTTTTTTTTTTTACAAAGTAGTTATGCACTTTCATTTAGTATCTACTGTAGGTACACCACTTTAGAAACCTCAGATACCTGCAAGTGCATTGCCCAGATAATGATGTGAGGAAGGACATGCAATTCAGAGTCATTTCAGAGAGCACTGCTATATTTGTTTTCCTTCTGGGAAAACGCAGTTGAGGAA